CCCCCCCCCCCCCGACCACCGTCGGCAACCGGTACCGGCCCCCGCGAACAACGTTCGCGGCCTCCCCAAACGCGTTCTCGCAAACGTGTTCGCGGCCTCCCCAAACGCGTTCTCGCAAACGTGTTCGCGACCCATTCACGCGAATGCGCGAACGAGGAGCACCGCGAACACGTTCGCCGTGCTACGCAGACAAGAACATTACTCTGAAGTAGACCCCCCTCAGACATGGTTCAATAATGGACTGTTCTTTCTGGCAAAAAAATCCAATGAATTTTCCAAGCAACTTGCTAAACAGCGAAATCAGCACGAAACAGACCTACTAAACCAACTTCAAGAGCTAGAACAGTAGCCGACACCTCACGACCCGGACCACTACGTGCATGCTATCCAGAACCCAGCTACTCCAGCAAGCTCAATATCGTTGGCAAGGCGCTCGAATTCGAGGCAAACTATTTCATTATTCCACTGAAGGTTCAATGGCAACAAATTTTTTCGGCCTTGCTCGTGTCAGGGCAAAACGCACGGTCGTCGAAGCACTGTACGAATCTGGGGGGTTAGAGACTCACCCGGTCACCACAACCGTTGGATGCGTTAAAATCGCTCGTGATTTTTTTAAGGACCTCTTTGCAACTCATATCCCTCCTACTGATGAAGATTTCAGGCTGAAACAGATAGAGTACTTTCTCCAGCCTATTGATAGATGCCTCTCCTCCAACCACTGAGAGAAGTTAGAAGCTCCCCTGTCTAAAGAAGAAATATGGACAACTCTCATGCAGATGGAAGAGGAGAAACCCCCCGGGTTGGTTGGTTTACCGAAAGAGTTCTGGGAGACAATGTGGGATTGTATGAGCCCTGATCTAATGTATGAGCCCTGATCTAATGGGGTATTACAACGAAGTCTGGCGCATAGGGGAAACAGGAGAGTTGATCGGTCAGGGGGTGTTGTCCCTTCTATACAAAATAGAAGACAAATTAAGCTACAGGCTCATTACCCTCCTGATTGTTACCTATAAGCTGTTGGTCAAGGCACTGGCCAACAGGATGATCCCGGTTCTAGAGGGAGTGATCCACCCATCATAGACAGGGTTTATGCAACATAGGCAAATCCAGAAAAACATCTTATTGGTAAATGAGGTGTTGCAACTGCCTTGTCAGGCAAAGCAAA